GGGCTTTAGGGGGTTTAGGGGCTTTAGGGCCTTTAGGGCCTTTTGGGTTTAGGTGGCCTAGAAGCCTCGGAAGATCAATGTAGATAACATGGAACAAGTCTGAGTCTGAATATTTTTCAGGTGCGTGTGTCTACACTCTATGCGCGACCACGTGAGGATGTGCATGTGTATCTCTGTATGCATGTACAATCATGTATATCATATCGTAATTCGTGCGTTTTCGTAGACATATGCACAGGAAACATGACGAGGTACATCCTAAGACAGCAACATGACCTGCAACTGGGCTGTTGCAGAGCTGCGTGCAGCAGTGGGGTAGAGGATCCGGCCTTGAAATATTGGTTTACGAGCTGAGCCCTAAGGCTTGGCTATGACCCTCTTCAGCGGTTCATTGCAAGCAAACTGCTTCTGTTGATTTTCTGTTTCGTGACTACTTGCATCAATCTTCACAGTACCTGCTTACCTGTTTTTTGCGTCTCTTCTTGCGCGTCTCCTGGCAGGCCGGGCGAAGTGCTGCTAGCAGCGTTGGAGCAGCGCAGTGAGCGAGAGCTATGTTTTCGGATTTTCAAGGCTGCCGAGAAGATTCGAAGATCAGGGCAGTATAGAACCTATACGAGGATCCTTTCCTTTGTACATTTGTTGCTGTGTCAGGCTTCTCACTTTTCCGATCTTCTCGTCAGACCTTTCCATTTGTGCTTGACACACGTATGCCACTCGCCGTGTCTGCTGTTTTCCAGTCCAAAACATGATTGGAGTCGGCGGAAGTCTTCCCGAGGGCTCTCGAGATGCGGCAAGCTGCGAAGCAGCCCCGGCCGCAGCTCCACGAAAAATCTCGAGGCTCGGGCCTCGTGCCATGCACACCTGTGCGGATGAAGGCAAAAAACCAGGGCTTTGGCTCTTCTTGGGGTTCTGCTTGAGGGTCCTCTGAAAGGCTTCTTCGATTTTGCGTGCATAGATCTTGAAGTTTACACAGCTTACCGACTCACTCGAATGGAAAGCCCCCCAAATCTTGAACGCGGAGGCGAATCATCCGAAGCAGGTCGCAGAACTCCATGCTTTTGCGCTCATCATCCCCTCCAGTAGTCGGCCTTGAACAATGGCGTGAATCATTATCTTCAGGTCACGACAGCCCATATAGATGTAAAAGCCATTACCGCGACTATGATTGCCGTGGTAGTGGCAGAGGTCGTGGCAGTAAATGTTCAGATCGCAATCTTTTTCATGGTAACCATCGTGGCCCTAACAGTGTAGCCAGTGTTGCCATCACCTGCAAAGTTTATGACCTGCCGCTGTCGCAGCATGCTCTCTAGAGTTTTGCTGCCTGGCGACGCCGGCCACAAGGTCCTCTGATTCTTCTATCGAGCTGGTGCGTTTCGGGGTTCTCAGGGTGTTTCTTTGTAGGTTAACATCCGAACCCCCAGACTAATCATCTGTGCGGCTCTTCTGCGGCCTTCCTTGATCAAGCCCGATACCGGGAGCCCCACTTTTCAGTCCGTGGCTGTCCTGCTTGATCGGTGTTTTTCGACATAGCTTGCACGACTTTGAGATCTTCTTCCGTTGAGGCTCGAGCCCGCACCTCAGACACCCTGAACCTGGAGTCCCAAGCGAGAGAGTCGGGGAGGGCCAAATGCTCAAAGCAGAGAAGCCTTGAAATTCTGTTATGGGTTTCAAGAGGATGTGGGATTATGGTATTTAGGGCTTGCGGCTCGGGATATAGTATAGGGTAGACGCCGCTTTCAGATGGTGAGTTCGAAGCACGTCTTTGTATATGTACATGTGTGTATATATATATATGTCTGTATGTATACACACACACACATATATATATATATGTACACATACATACAGCTGCACAGGAGAGCTGTCCCCCTCGTCACCCTCACTGGGGAGCCGTGCTTGAACGTTAAACCCTAAGCCCTAAACCCTTTGTCTGTTCCCTGGCAGGTTGCCCGGCATGGCCGCGGCGCCCCAGGTGCCTCAGGGTTAAGAGGTGCTTCGGATTTTTGGGTTTAGCAAGGTGTATCTCAATAAGAGACTACTGGGTGCTGTGGAAGATGAGCCTTCCGACACTTGCACGACCATTTGCAGATTGGGTTTTGCAGGAGGCAGGCGAAGATTTGCAAACATTCTAACATCGCCGAAGCCCAGACCAGACGGGGAGCGCAGGACGACTTCTGTATGAATGGTGAGCCCTCCTTTCTTGCTGCGAGTATGGTATGGTGATGCGCCGAAGCACATAAGCTGGTTAATCATCGAACTTCCCCGCAATGGGCTCATCACCTCGGCATTCCTTTAGCACGTGTGGGGTTTGTTTTTGAATGCCCTCTGTGCATGCTTGCCTGGCCGTGCTCGGATGTGGGCCTGCTTGTTCGCTGTGGATCCTCGAGCCGAAGCACTCAAGCTTGGCATCTACATAGCCATAACGCCCCAGGGACTGGATCCTAAAGCCCCAACACCAGAGACTCTGAGGCCAAGTGCCCCACAGCCCCAAACCCTGAAGCCCTAAACCGAAAAACTTCGGAGCCTCGAAGCTGCAAAGCTCCGGAAGCACCGAGCCAAGAAGTTGCCTCGACACCCTTGGCTCCTTTCAGGTCTTTGCTGAAGTTTTTTGTCGCAGTGCAGGCTTGAAGGGGCCGGGTTAAGGTTCCGCAGCGCATGTACTTCAATGGATCAAGTTTCTGACAATATGCATTCTCATCAAGAGAATTGCCCAATCGAAGCAAAGTCACTGACGGGACCCGTTCCGACAGACAAAAGTCTTTCTCAGAAGATTCAGGCATGACTTTGGCCATGTCCACTTTGCTCGGAACTGCTCTTGGGCGGCAGTCTGCAGAGAAACGTGCACATGTCCGCAGCTGTAGTTCGCAGGGAGACAGAGAATGCATTTTGCGACATCCTTGTCACATTGCCAGTACTGCACCCAATGATCACTACGCAGTTGCACTGGCAACAAGCACAACACACATCAGACAAGCACGCACGCTGCGCATCCAAAGATGTTTCCTTCTCATAGTCGTACAGTAGCGGCCCTGCAACCCGAACGCCCAAACCCTGAAGCACACAACTCAAAGGCCCCAAACCCTTCAGCCCCAACAGCTCAACTCTATACGGGCCTAGAGCCATAAGGCCGTGATGGCCTAAATCATAAATGATCTCCCTCATGCGATGCATCTTTACGTGCAGTTAAGTTACTAAGTTTCTGTGAAATTTTGAAGCCTAAATTGCCTTTTTCAGCATCTGCAGAAGTTTGGCGCCCACAAGCCGCCCTGTTCAGACTCCTTTCTTAGCTGCTCCGTGAGAACGAAGTCGAGAATCTGTACAAGTGCGACGCACGCGTTTCTCGGGCCCCACGCTTTTATCCTCAAAGACAGCGATAATGGTCTGTTGCAGCATGTCGTGGTTGTGGAGGTAGTTGTAGCGGTGCTGGCAGCAGCAGTTGGATTGGGAGTGGCGGTAGGGCCACGAGCTGCGGTCGCAGCGCGGCCAATCCGTGTTTTGGCAGGAAGCACCGCAGAAACCCGCCTGGCGCTCTCGCCAGGGAAGGCCGGTTCAGGTTCTCCTTGGGCCTTGAGATCCCTAAGCTTCGGTGGCCGAGGAGCCTCGGAAGTGAGAGGGCCTGCGATCGAAGCCTAAAGGGAGGGGGAGGGTTCGTTGGCGATTGAGCTTGTGGTATGGTCACTCTTGATGCGATGGCAGTTCCGGATTCGGCTGCAGTTGGAGCTATCATCTGGTAGGTGGTTTTTTCTGCACTTAAAGGTTTCAAGTTCAGGGTGCTTGCAGGTTTGCAGGCCTCAGGGAGCGAGTCAGCTGGAGACCTTACAAGCCTTACAAGTTCAGTGCGGCCTTTTTCACAAAGCTTTCAGGCCACGATGGAAAGGAAAACTTCACGGGAAGAGAGACTAAGACTCAGATGCCCCGAAGCGTCCGCCCTTCAACTCCGTCTTGCATTTTTAATCTCTGTAGGGTCCGGGCATAGGGGGCTCAGGGATTCCCTGGAAGAGGTGGAATTGGTCGTCGGCCGTGACAAGTCCTGCGACTACCAGGTGCCCGATTCGGGTCGACCCCTCGTGTATGCTTTTGGGGCCAGGGTTTGTGGGGGACCCTAGTTTAGGGCCTGGGGCTTTTGAGGACCCTGGACCGAAATTTCTCAGGGGTCGGCTTCAGGGGGCATCAGGGGATGAGCTCTTGAGTTTGAGATGCTCAGGGCTTAAAGCTTAAGGTACTTGTGATTGGTGGTAATCATAATTTGCTCGGGAGAGGGAGGGAGGGGTCCACAGAGAGTTGTACCGCTTCTGTTCAGGAGAGTTGTCCACGTTCTATTCGGCGTTTCGGAATTTGTTTTTGGGGTCTCGGGCTCCGAGCACCGCGCTTGATCCTTGGGAGACTCGCCGACACCTGCTGCCAGGTGTCAAATTCCAAGGTCTCCAAGCATCACCTGAAGCTGCGTGCGGACTCCCAGAGATCTGTTAGGGCTTGAGGGTTCGGGGAGGTTTAGGCTTCTGGTTCTTGGGCAGATGGGGTTTCGGAGGTAGATATCAGGGAGTGGTAGTCTGGAGTTCAAGGTTCTGGGGAGTGAGGGGGTTACGACTACCTCTCGACGCTGGAGAGGTCCCTTTGGTGGATGAGAAAGTGGTGTTTTGGAGTCCGAGTCGACACGGGCCACGGGGTATTCCGGTTCCAAGACCGAGGGAAACGACTAGTAGGCAAGCGGGCGACGACGACGACGAGCATCTGCCAGACTGTCTTACGATCACACACATCGTCACTATTGAATCATTACTCCCCTGCTCCTCCTCCTCCTCTTCCTCATCATCATCAACATCCAATGATCATCAACGTTATCGTCAGAGCAGGGCTTCCTGACACGTTGGCACTGTGGGCTTGGTAGGAGCATCCTACCACAGGTGACACGTGGCCTGAGGAAGGGCTTCAATATAGACGCCGGTACGACAAGAGCATTCAGGGAAGCTGTTTTTTGCTGGAGGCAAGAGAAGGTTTCCCAACATGCAAGATTCCGAAGTCCGCGACCCCACGCAAAAAATCCTGAACTTTGAAGCCCCTTTGGACATTGAAAGGCTGGTTGGAGTCTCAAAGCCTTCAGCTGGTGGCTGCTGGAAGCTCGGGATGCGCTGTGAATGGTGCGCCTTTGAAGAAGGACACGGAAGGGAATCCGAAGCTTTTGTTTGGCCCCTCCGCGGGGTTTTGGTGCTCGGCGTGAAGACAGGGTTTACTGGGGCCCTTCGTGGAGGAGGTCGCCTTCGCTCCAGCGTTGGCTTGGACCAGACTCCCTGAGCCCGCTTTTGTGTGCTGAAGTTTGGAGGGTGCGCCGGGGCTCAGACTTTCACTTCAGCCCGGCCATGGCCCATGGCCCCATGGCCCCATGGCCCCATGGCCTATGGCCACGGCCCCCAAGCCTGCTGCCCTCGACGGTCTTCGGTTTCTTCCGGGTTGCCGCTCTCCAGGGTGGAGCGATGAGGGTTTAGATCCATCGGAGCCCAAGCAGAGTCAGAGTCCGTCATTCTGCTCCGTTTCTCAAAGCCTCGCTGACTGAGTTCATTGAATTCAGGTCACCGATGGCTGTAGGGACTGCTTTCGGCCGTGCGTGCGCGTGGGCAAGCTGTCAGAACAATTCGAGGCATCCAGGGCTTCGATTGCTGGTCTTCAGCCACAGGTGGCTTCGACAACAAAAAGGGGTAGCTGGTGTAAATGTTTAAAACATAAAAAATCTCGGGTTTCGGAACCCCCCCTGTTCAGGCTTTGGATTCTCGGGCCTTCTCTCCAGCGAACGCATCACGCATGGCTTTTAACTTTTGCTAGGATGAGCAACGCCACCTGCAAGATGGCGATCGGGTCGAAGTGGGGCGTTCCTCTCGCGCTTGGGCTTTCGGGGGGGGGGGGGGGG